AGGACCTGCATGCACAGAGCATTGTATTTCACATCCACATTCTACTGCTGCTCTTCTTTAACTCCAAGGCTGCCATCTAGTCATTAATTGATGGACATTGTTTTCCCATTTTTTTGGTGGTCATGAATAAAGCTGTGATGAGTGTTCATATACAAATCTTCATGTGGACATATGTTTCAGTTCTCTTGGGTAGGTACCTACGAGTGGGTCATATGGTAACACTATTATTTAACATTTTAAGAAACTGCCATTTTCCAAAGATGATGCAATATTTATGTTCCCACCATCAACATATGATGGTTGAGATTTCTCTATGGTCTCATCAACACTTTTTCTCTGTCCTTTGAGTGTAGCCATTCTAGTGGGTGTGAGTGGTCTGGTGGTTACGATTTGCATATCCTTAATGACTGTTAACTAATGATGTTGTGGTTTTATTTGCCTTTTTGTTATTGAGTTTTAAGAGTTTTTTACATATTCTGGATATAAGTCCCTCATCAGTTACATGATTTGCAAATATTTTTTTCTCTGCCTTTATGGTCTTGACCACTCTCTTTTTGAGCTAAAGATCTCCTTCAACTTTATCATGTAAGTTGCCTCTGTGACAGCTAATATTCAGAGTCTGGGAAGCCATATTAAAACTTTTGATGTTAGTTATAATTATTTTTGTGAGTGTGTCATGTTTATTTATTACTTTAATTCAAATGCTTATTCCATTCAGTACATTAATATTTAGTTTGATTCTGATCCATATCTTGAAGGCTCTCTTCCCTGCCTTTTCCCAGTTCTACACAGTAAACTAACAGGAAGCACACTTATATGCCAGACTAGATTGGACCACTTCAGGATAACCCATGTTCAAATGTACTCAGGTGTACCAATGAAATATTGATGGTGTGCTTCATTCTGCAGAAATAATCATCCAGATGTAAAGGATATAAATGACATGATTGTTAGTCTGAATAACTCCAGGACCCCAAGATAATAATGTCATTTTTAACAGCGCTAATTAATCCAATAAAATATTAGCCAGTCTGTGTCTTCTCTAATCCAAAGATACTGTAAGAGTGTCAACTTGAACTTGTTCTCCTGAGGAAATCTTTAAATTTTGGAATTTTTAGATACATTTTATCAACTATGTAAGTTAATGAAGATGGCATCTAAAATCTCTAAGCCAGGGAGTCATGTAAGGATGATTATTGCACTTTTCCAGGCAAATGATACATTAGCTATTTTTAAAGTATAGATTTCTTTGTCTAAGTTTACTTGCTATTGTTCCAAGGTGGTATCTCCTCCTTTTGTCTTCTGATTATGCATACATTAGTATATAATGGTGTATCATCTTTAATTTGAAATTCCTAAGTACCACAGCAGTTAATATCTATCGTTTTCTTAATCACGTACTGATGCCCATTCTGATTACTTATTTATTTAACAATGAATCACTTTGCAGTGTACTGTGCTTAGGCAACGTACTTCTCGGGCCTTTCCTGCTCACACAAGCGTATATCCAATCAATCACCAGATTTACTATCCATTCCCTACTTTTTCCTCAATCTTTTCTTGTGGGCCAATAATCAACACTTCATCTGCAATAACACACATCTTCCTGCCTCATGTTATAATATAGGCACAAAAAGAAGGCAACTTAAAATTAAACTCTTGTTAAGGGTTTCTTTTTCTTATTTAGACATAATCTATATTGTCACTGTGATTATCATCATCCACATCAACACTGTGACCACTATTATTGTCCATATCAATTCACATTTAAAGTTTTTTCAATCATCTCCATAGTATTTAAATTTTTGAATTGCAGTCTTCCTAAATTAATATATTATCAGCTCAGCATCAAATTTATCCAGTAATACTGTACGTATCTCTGTGGTTTGTTTTTTGTTTTTGTTTTTGCTTATGGGGTCGGTTAACCCTCCTCTTTACCATAAAATACAGCTACAGTGAAGGAAATAGGTTAACATGTTAAAAAATCAATCAAAAATCTTGCTCATATATTCTATAATTAGTTAAATAGTGTAATAAAAACAAATGTATATAGTTAATATGCTACTATCTACAGAATCAGGACATTATTGCATAAAATTTCTCACAAGTGATAAGGATTAAAACCCTAGTTTTGAGAGAAAAATATTTTGAATAATAATTTAAAAATAAGATTTTCTATGCCTTATAAAGTGGTAGAAGAATATAGTCTCCTGAATTTTATGGATGTTGGGAACCACTCATGGCAACTTTGTCCCAGCACACATGATTCTCAAGGGGAAACCTCAAAAGAATCCAGATACAGGCTGGTAAACACACACACACAAACACACACTCACACAGATAAGTAACTGACTGCTCCTAGAGATGGGATTTGGAAGATTTCCTTTATGCTTACGCTCCTTAAGTACTGATCTACTATTTACAGTGGAAAATCAGGTATCACCTCTGTTCCTAAGTGCAATTCCAGGAAAAAAGAGGTTTTGAAAGGTAACTCTTTCATTAGATTTTATTTTCTCTTCACGTTTGTTTGTATCGTTAGACCAAGGCCTGTGGAAGACTGCTTTCTTTTGAGGAATTTGATTCACTATATACTTTCTAAAGATGTAAATTTCTTTCTGATTCACCAGAGTTCTGAAATGAGCAATGGAGATATTAAAGGGAAGAAACAGATCATCAGTTAATTGATATGGAATGTCATGTCATCATTATAGGAAGAATTCTCAGGATCTTATTTGTGAAATTTATGGCCCACAAATTTCTCTTAACTAACTCTGTGGCCAGCAAAACAGATTTAGGCAACTTATTTTGTTTTTAAATATATCAAAGAAATATATAGCACTCTCCTGAGAAATATTATTATTAATAACCAATATTTCTGAGAAGATTCTATGTATCAGGCTGGATTTTTAATTATTGATATGAATCATTTAATTTAATCCTCACAGAACTCATATGTTACAGACATTATTACTATTCTTGTCCACAATTTCTAGATATAAAACCTATGCCTAAAAAGATTTAATTAATTGCCCAAAGCCATGCAGTTATTGAACCCAAGACGAACTTATGTTTTTCATTCTTATATAATGACATGGTTAATTAAAGGAATCAATACCCAGTACGGCAAAATTCATGGATTGAACACTTTCTTTTCTCCACTGAGTCCAGCTCTGCCCTGCTGCTTATTAGGTGTTTCTGAGTAAAGTCACTTCATTTTTTTAAGTCTGATACTTCATCTGAAAAATAAGAATAAACTAAAAATTTTTACACAGGAATATCACAAATTTTATGGAGATGATCTTAAAAAAGTGTTATAACCCCAGGGGTATAATATTATTCCTTTCAGTAGAAGGCTGCTAATATTATAAATCACAGCTTCCGTAAAACAGAGAAATAACCTTATTGAATATAGTAAAATGTCTCATGCAATTAATTGACCACAATGCAACTAGAGTCAGCTTTAAAAATGTGAACAGGATCATGCCATTGATCATCTCAAAACACAAACATATATACGCACATTCAAAATTAGTAATCTTACATTTATTGATTTGGGATTTACATAAGAGCTTCTTAAAATTGATTACCTCTCCAGTCTTATTTAATAATACCTCTCAAATCAAGCCTTTATCCACATTGAAAATATATTCTGCAAATTATTACAAATTCCAAAACTTTTCATCTTCTCCTTTGCCTTATGGTTTTTCTTTCTTTCTGATATATTCCTTTTGCACCACACAATACTGTATGGGAATTTTTTTCTCACTCTTAAGATCACAGCTTCAACATTACCTCCCAGGGAACTTTCCCTGATGTATGAGACATGTAGTTTCCATAGCATTAATCAGGAATTTGACCCGGTTTATATTTTGACTACAAAGTACAGTGCCTGGAATAGGCAGTTTTGTAAGCACATAGTCATTTTTAAAAATATATATTTGCGAAAAATCAATTTATAAATTTAACAACATAGATACTCATGGCAAGAGAACTTAGAAGATCATTTGCTTAACTCCATATCATTAAAGTATTTTAAAAATTAAAAAGAAAAAAACTTAGTTCAGAGAGGAGAAACAATTTAGACAACATTATGCAGCTAGTGTCAGATGGAGGAATAGAATATGGATTTACTGAACCAAAGTCTTGTTCTTTAGTCCACGCTTTTAAGATTAAATTGATAGAGAAAAAAATATGAAAATAATGGAGACAGAATTTATCCTAATATGAGCCTGTGGTTATGTATCAGTAAAGGAAGATTCTAATTTAATCAGGGATATGAGGCTGTTCTCTCTGTAAGAATAAGGACTCTGTATGGATGATATTCAGACTTCCCTATATCCCCTATATTTCTCTCACTCAATTGCCTTACTGGCTGTGAAGAAATTGAGCTGGCCATAACAAACATAAGAATAAAGGAGAGAGTTTTCCACTTCCTATCTCTTCCCCTAGACTTTAATCTTAAACTAGTTTTAGGTTGTCCTCTCCTGTCAACCATATCAAATTTTCTATGAATAAATAGAAGAAAAATTCAGGGACACTGTTTTTATATGACATTTCAAGTCTTGATTAAAATATTGTTGTGTGAGAAGATTAAATAGTTGATATGATTTTCATATTATGCTTTCTTGTATAAAAGTTTATTAGTGTCCACATGTTTCTCTGACTAGAACTTTGGAAAGGTAGTGAAAGAGATTTATGTAACACCCAGCATAAACAAATTATGTAGGTTTCTTCATTAAATGAGGATAATGGTGATGGTGTGCTAATCAAGACTCTCTTGCTCTAGAGACAAAAGACCATTGACTCCTGTCCCTGATATTGGACATCATCGTCTTTTTCAACAATAGTAGCTACAGACCCTTTCTTCTGACTGGTTTCCCTGGGTTGGAGGATTCACATTTGGTGATTCCATTTTGTTTTGTGCCATGTACCTAATTACCCTTATGGGTAACATCATCATCTTAGCAATTATTCAGATGGAATAGTCATTTCATGCACCCATGTATCTTTTTCTCTCCATGCTGGCTGTTAGTGACCTAGAACTCTCTGCTGCCACTCTGTCCACACTACTCAAGCTTTTCTGGTTCAATGCCTGTGAAATAGACTTTGATGCCTGCCCAATTCAGATGTTCTTCATCCATGTTTTCTTCCTAATGGAGTCAGGCATTCTGCTCACCATGTCTTTTGACTGCTATATGGCCATCTCCGATCCACTCAGGTATACTACTATTTTGACTAATTCTACCATTGCCAAGATAGGTGTGCGGCTTTTGCTACTGGCTGTGGCTATCATCTTCCCAGGACCCTTTCTCATTAAGCAACTGAGGTTTTGTAAGGCCCATGTGCTCTCCCACTCATACTGCCTGCACCCAGATATCATCAAACTCTCCTGTTCTGACCACCATATCAATAGCATCTATGGCATCACCATCATTCTCATTACCTTTGGAGTGGACTCTCTACTCATTCTTCTCTCTTATTTGAAGATTCTGATGACTGTACTAGTCATTGCTTCCCAGTGTAGGGGAGGAAGACATTTCCTCTACCTTCTCTGGGTTATTCTGGCCAGAGAATGAATTAAATTCACATGAGACAGAATAGCAGGAGAAAATTAAACAAAGCTTTATGAGGACCATGGCCTGGGGCCTTTCTTCCCAAAGGAAGAAAGGGCACCAAAGAAGTGAGGTATACAGAGTGGTTATATACCCCCAAACAGGGTATTTCACATATGATTGAAATGTCCCTCCCACAATAGTCACAAGATTGCCCTGTCGGCACAGCGCTTGATGGACACAGCAGGTAATTGGTCTGCTACCTCAGAGGGCTGGCGTAGCAGGAGGCAAATCTATTGTCTTGAGCTGGGTGGTCACAGGTGGGTGCAGCAATCAGTTCCTAGCCTAAGGAAAGGTGCTTAATCCTTAAAGAAATGCCAATTTGGGAGGGGAAGGGAAGTCAGTTACAGGAGGTTACCAGACAAGCACAATAAAATGCAGATTTGAGTCCTTGCCTTCCCCATTGATTAAGAGTTTCTGGAGATAAGGTCATCTCCCCTTCTTCCTGGTACAGAGGGAGATATTTTTACAGATGGAGATTTCCTTTACAATGTAAATGTCTCTTAACAAAAGGGTAAGCAAGTTCTACTTTTCAGTTGCTTTCCTGTCTGCAAAGAAACCAGCCTCAAATAATCCTCATGCCAAAGAGACTATCTTCATGTGGCCAAGACCAGTTCCCCACAGCAGGAAGAACAATTCAAGGCCCTTAACACTTGTGTTTCCCACATCTGTGCTGTGCTGCTGGTCTACGTTCCCATGCTGGGGGTATCCATTATCCATCGCTTTGGGAAACATGTTCCACCCACGGTGCACATTATCATGGGTTATATATACCTACTGAGCCCTCCTTTTCTCAACTCTGTTGTATACTGCATTAAAATTCAGGAGATATGCACCCGTATTCTGGGTAATCTACTGAAATTATAGAAGAGAGGACTTTAGGATTATTTATATATATCTGGAATAATCCTTAAGAAATTAATTTCTAATTTGGGTGAAGCATATCACTAAGAAATATTTCTATGTTCACAATCCTCATGCACGTTTGTCTCTCACTTTTCTGAAAGTTTTTGAGAAGCGCAACAATATCCTCATTTTCCTTAAGTAACTCAACTAAAATAGACGACAAATAATTGTACAAATAAAGCGTGAGTTCAAAATAATCTGCGTTGTCAGAAATCCCTCAATATCCCTGAATATCCATGAATTTGTTGGAAGATTTGTAATCAAAACATAAGGCATCAAGTATAGGGCATGTTGTAACCTGACTACAATGTAACTTCTGATGAACATCTTCCACAAATGTCTCCTCTATGATTTTTTACTATCTATCCTTAAAATTACATCGAATTTTCTCAGTTTTTACTTGTGAGACTTTTGTCTTGTTTAGACATTACTTTACAAGTATATTCTTCTAGTTTACCATGTACATGTCCACACTCCTTTGACATCTATTGATAGGTACAGTTTAAAACTTGGAAAACTAGGCAGAAAATCATGGAAAAGATTGCAATGAGCCATTAACTGGTGTATTGGCATGCTGAGTAGTACTCGTTGTCTCAAATTTTTGTTTGCTGGTTAGTGTTCTGCTGATTTATGAAATTATGTAACCAAACAAATAAATGTAGGCTATTAGCTCAGTAGCTGTTGGAGAGTGTGTCCCGAAGAAGATGCGATAGAGGAAAGATACATTTTATTTGGAGGGCACCCTCTTTAAATAATTTTTGTCTCCAATGAGTCATCAAAATAACATTACAATAGAGAAATAACAGCAATGCTTTAGGTAAGTTTCATTTGCAGAATGCCCTGTCAAGAATGAAAAGGAGATCCTTCATGAGCCAGTACATAAACTTCTGAGAAACTGTATAGGGCCTTACATATTCCTCACTCCCACAATTTACTGTTTTCTAAGGCTTTCATAGACCTACTACAGGAACAAAAAAGAATAAACACCAAAAATTTCCACAATATTATGCTTACAAAGCCTAGACTTCTGGACATGCATAGGAAATTACTAACACTTCTAAAAGCCGTATCGTAAATGAGAGCTTGCAAATATAACTCATTTCCCGACCTGTGCATCTAAACAGTATATTGCCAGCCCATGTCACCCTCAGTCTAGACTTTCTGAGAAACCAATGGACATTTTCTGCCATAGTTACTTTTAGTTTCTCATTTATCATTCTCGTCTTTGATATAATTCCAGAACTCTCTAGTTTTGGAACTCAATGCCCTTATCTTACCTGGGAAACAATTTCTTTTTTTTTCATTGTGAAGTGTCTATTTCCTTAAAACAGGAAACGCATCTATTCTTTTAACTGATATTCATGCTAACAAGGAAACTTGCATACATGTGACCTACAAAATAGGTATTGAAAGAATAAAGACATAAATGAATGATAGCAAATTATTGGGGACATAGACCACAAAGCAGACAAAAAAATGAAGGCCATAATCTAAACCAGGAAAAATGACATCAGTCTTTTAGGTAATAGAGAAAACCAATTGTGTAGATGATTTTGCTTTGGAGCAAAATGGATATTTAAGATTAGTGGCCATCTTGTGAAATCAACTACAAAGATAAGACTGAGACCTGTACTTAGCATGTAGGAAAATTCTAAACGAGTATCATATTATTGAACCCTACCTTGAATCTTTTTCTGTGGAAAAAGTAGCATAGTTTTGTATTATTCAGTGTTTTCTGACTGATATTTAAAAATTTCTCAACACTGGTAATGAATGAGATAGTGGGTGACAATAGAAGAAATTCATAATAAATTCAGATGAGTGAGTTAAAATAAGTGATTATTAGATTGCTTTGAGCTAAGGGGATTTGTGATTTCCGAGTTTAGGAGTACATGAAGGTAAAAATATAATTAACTTTGAAAATAAAATTACGCACAAAGACAATCTGCATTGATTTACATCTCTAACCACGGAGTATCATAATTATTTATCTCCACTAAAGGAATCTTCTTATTTAACTGGTATTCTCTCAGATTTGCAATCCAACTGCCTCAATTCTCTGGCTATTAAACATTTAATGAGTCAATTTTTGTTTTCCCTTCAGGTAAAAATATGTCCATAAATTCCTTTTAATTCATAATGTGTTTGTATTTTTCTTTAATCTTATTGTTGTACAATCTCCACCAAAAATCATAGCTTGTAACCACAGCTTTATATACTTCTCTCCTATGAAAGTGGTGTTTCCCTACACATGAGCTGTTATTATTTTTCCACTGGAATCTATTACCTTGGAACTGGAATTATATGCACTAATGAGAATGATCACAAGAAAGAACATTATTGGAGTTGCTCATCAATTTTAATAGCAACTTAGGGAGGCCATTAGCCCTCACAATCATCTCTTCTTTTTATTCTCCTGTGTATGTTAAATAAGAGAGATGAACTTGGGAGACTCTGCTAAGCCATCTTGGGAGTGAAAACTGATTGCAGCACCAGCATTGAGGCAGAAGCACTTGACATAAGTGAAATAGACCTCTAGCAGGGGACGAGTCAGGAACCCCAAATAAAGCTAAGAACATTTTTTCCCCAATTAAGGCTCACAAAAACCAGATCTAGAAACATCTTCTTGACTTTCATCTTTCAAAAGTTGACTGTTATTGTGTGACTACCAATCTGCATTGCTGTACACGCCAGCAATATGGACCCTTTAGAAATACCAGAAGGTCTTCTATGTTAGTTTAATAAAATTAGAATTTCCAAACTACCTATGGGAAATCTCCCTTTCTTGATTTTCTGGTTTGTTTTACATCTCTTGTTATACTGAATCTATGAGTGTCAATATCCATTATGTTTTAACATATTGTATCTACTTGTCAAGGTCATAGTATTTCTTTGAGCCTGCACAAATGCAATGTGAATGGTAGAAACTGTTAGGCAATAACAATGATCCTAATCTGGGGATTAAATGCACCCTGAAGTTAATGTGTTTCAATCTTCACCCAACATTGAAATTCCCACTCCAATATTATCAATAATTTTTCACCAGCCTGACTACCCCTATTTTCGGTGTAGAGATAGCAGGATCTACTGCACCATACCAGGTGTTCTTTGTAATTCATTCTGAAAGCTCTTCCTTATGTGGGGCTCCTCTAGATGCTGCTAAAATCACCCTGGACGTAAATAAGCCAGATAAGAAGGAGGTAGACTGGGCTGAATCAGTCTCCTCCCTGCCCCTTTCCTAACCGTAGAAAACTAACTCCTCAACTTTAATCACCGTCTCTCCCTATAAATTTCGTTGATATACATTTGTTAATTGTCTCTTCAGCAGTCATCTCCCCTTCCCTCTTCCCAATACTACTCCAAATTTCTCAGTCATGGAGTTCAAGTGAGATTGGCCACACTTTCAGGGTAGTCTCTGATTGTTTTAATAATATCAGCATATACATTTCACCTAGCCACAGTTATTAATTCAAGAAACACATAATGCACTCCAGGCCAATTAACATCAACAGAATTCAGCTCTTAGATTTTATTCAAAATATTGTACTGATTATGTTTTTCCTGCTAGATATGAATGAGGAAATATACACTTTTAAGAACTGCCTTCTTGAATTCATGAAATGAATGCCTGCTAATAATGGCATCAAAGGTAAAGAAGCAAAACTGAGAAGTGGAAGAGAACGAGAGAGATCGGGTCACACTACCGACTCAAATACCTTCTTAAATAAATCTACCTTTTGATTTTATGGTTACATGAGCCAGTAAATTACTTTTTTAAAAAGCTAATTGGAGTTGAAGAATCTGTTGCCTGCTACCAGGAAACATCTTTGCTAATATACCTCAATGTATACTGCCCCATCAGAGAGATGAAAAGCCTTCCTTATATCAACTGAAATATATCAAATAAGAAGCCCTGAACTTTGATGTTTGGATAAGAAAAAAACGAGAAATATAACCTGATTCAATGGGTTCGATTACAGTCACTGGGTGCTTCCACTGAATTTTCACTACTTCACAGAATGCCTCCATATCTCAGGGTTTGTCCTTGTATCTGGAAATCCCAAAGGTTCATGACTCAGTGCTTTCCTGTACACCATGACTCCAATGGTCCCCTGACTTAATTCTGTGTTTATAGAGCGGAGGAGAGAAGATCATGCCATGAAAGAGGGATACTTTCAGAATATCGCTTCAGAATTCTTAGATAATCTGCTATACAATCAATTATATTTCAAGTCTGCATCTCAAAAGATTCTAGCTAAAGATAATGTCATGTGGTCAGTCCTTCTTCCTAGTCTGACAGCTCCGTTGAAAGCTGTTCACCATTATTGACTCTGCTGGTGTTTGAAATACTGGGGGCATAGCTTTCAGTATCACAGCAACACGCAGCTGCCACAGTTAGGACAACCAACAGAGAGGTGCTGTGGTTCCCTGACAAGGAAATGAACCCCAGCCACAGAGGTGAGAGTGCCAAAGCTTAGCTACTAGACCACCAGGGTTATTCCTAGAGCATTCCTATGGAGTAGTCAAGAGTTAATAACTTTAAATTAATCAAAAGACGAGAAATTCCCAGAAGATTCCTGTCCCTTAAGGTAGCTATTCATGAACAATAAAGGAGCCCAAACTGGGTCACAAGTGATTTGGGCTTTGTAGTAGTGAAAGAAAGCTACCAATGAAGGACTCTAGCAGCCAAGTTGCTTTGAGATGTCAGGTGAGAAGAAAATCAAGATTTAGCTGAGGTTGGATACAGAAATAAGATCAAAGATAAGTGGGACAAATATCAAAATAGTTAAATTCTAGCATGTACTACAAGAAACTACCAATATCTGTTTTATGAACTTTTCATGTGAAGATATTAGTGTTTTCTCTCCCAAAGTCAACACTAGTTGTTTTGGAGAATGGTGCTGACTCAAAAGGAAAAGAATTTCTGTAAGAATCCCAAGGAAAGAGAGGAATAGGGTATCCAGTTCTATGGAAATTTTGACCAGCCTCATCCCCGAACACTAACACACCCTGAGACCAGATGGAGTAGATTCAGAGAATGTTAAGAGCCCATAGATGGGAATGGTACTGTGTTTGGAATTGCTAAAATTTTCTCTTGTGGAATGGTGGCGAAGTGCGTCCTCTTATTCATTTTCTTTATCTAAAATAATACAAATGGAAAAGTATCAATCAAGGAAAAAGTCCTGATCGTGCTTCTGAGGTTGATTCCAATTGTCTCAGTTTTTGTATCCAAAATCAAAGATTTTAGTGAGTATGTGGAATTGAAAATGATATTTCAGAGTCACATTTTGATAAACTGAATAGGACAATTGAAAAAACCAGTGACCAGTAGATAAGATGTGTATGCTTCTTGTCCTCATCCCTTGGGTAAGGAAGTTGACATTTTGAGGAAGAAGAAGTATTTGATTCTATAAAACCCTCCCTTGGATAAATGACTAGATTCAGGGAGCATTTGAATAGCCATTCAGACAAGGTCCTATATCAAATAAAAACAAAGTCAATTATCCCCAGAGCAAGTATCCTTGGGAACAACTAAGCTGTGAGAATATTAATCATGAAAGCCTTTTATCTTTGATATAGTGTGTATTTCAGCGAAGTATTTACTTTTCAGACTGTCCTCCATCCCTTACAATGCAAGCAGAGGGACATCTGTTTTGATAGTCATGTCACTATAATCACTTTGGAAGATAGCTTGGCAGTTTTTTGCAAAATTAAACATATTCTTACATGTGAGCCAGAAATCATACTCCCTTGTGTTTGCCCAGATGATTTGAAAACTTATTATCACACAAAAACTTGCACATGGATATTTATAGCAGCTTTATGTATAACTGTCAAAATTTGAAAGCAACCACTATGCCCTTCACTAGGTGAATACATAAACTGTGGTATATCCAGACATCGGAATATTATTTAGCGATGAAAATAAATGAGCTATCAAGCCACAAAAAGGCATGGAGGAATCTTAAATGCTTTTTACTAAGTGAAAGAAGGCAATGTGAAAGGGCTACCGTAATGCATGATTCCAGCTATATGACATTGTGGAAGAAAATAAAACTACGGAGACAGAGACATATCAGCGGTTGTCAGAGGGGTTACAGAGAAGGAGGGACAAATAGGTAACACATAGTGGATTTGTAGGGCAGTGAAACAATCGTGTATGATACTGTAATGGTGGATCCACGCCATTACACATTTCTCAAAACCATATAATATACAACATGAATGGTGACGTCTAATGGAAACTGTGGCCTCTAGCTTATAAAAATATGTCACTATTGGCTCATCAATTGTAAGAAAGGAATTACACTAATGCAACACAATAAGAGGGGAAACTAGGTGGGTGAGGTTAAGGGGATATTTGTGAACTCTACGCTTTCTGCTTAATTTTTCTGTAAACCTACAACTGCTTTATAAAGTAATATGTACTAATAACAAAGCTTCATTTCAAAAGTGGGGGGGATCTTCAAATATTCTGTAATGCCTTTCCCTTGTAAAACCTCAAAATATGTCACTAAAGGACACCTGGTAATGTATTTACACATATTAAAATAGCCTCTACAGTTTGGCTTTGTCATAAAACATGTGGATGTTCCAGAAGTGTCGTGCAATAGGAAACCTCCTTTTTTGTTAGAGTATTCTCCAAGGAATACATACTGAGCTGGCAAAAAGTGCAGAGATGTTGCTCAGAGACTTCATTTGGGATGGAAAATTATCAAATGCAGTTCAAAAGTGGAAAATACAATTTTACAAGTATGGAAATAGGGAAAATATAATTTTACAAGAACAGAAGATAAGTTTAGCCAGCTAATCCAAATACTGACTGTGGGTCTCAGGTGTAAAAGCCCTCACTCAATTGTAAAATACCCAAAAGATTTCGCAGCCCTGAGGTTATTCCCTAAGTTGTCTTTACAGATATCGGTGTACAATACTAATGAATATATAAATGTACATATGCATATCTTTCCTGAATCCTTATCAGCTGGACAGGACTTTTTACTTAACACCTACAAATATCATTGTGGGAGGTACTAAGAGGAAATTCAAGGTCTGCTCTTTTACGTTCCAAATGGTTTAGAAAAATCATGCATCTAAGAGGTAAGTTAGAATAGTTTAGCGGTTAAAAGTGTGAGTTTTTCAATTAGGATCCCTGGATTTCCAACAATTTACATACACATTAGTGATGTGACATTGGGAAGGCCCTTCAGTGCCTGAGTTCCCTTGCATTCACAATTAGGATATCAACAATAGCTATTTTATATATTAGTTTTGACCATTAAATTGGTAATCCACGTAAAGTGATTAGAATATTTTTTAGGAAAATTCTTAGCACATTATAAGCATTTATAAATATTTGCAATTATTATTTTTACCATTACTGCTATATTTCCCACTCTTGTAATGACATGTGAGATGTCTTCTATTTTAATACACTGATATATTGTGTGTAGTTGTCACACAGCAAAACCAGCCTCTTCTGGAAGACAACCAAAAATATGAAGCAAAGCCTCAGTCTTAGGGGGCTAATAAAATTATAGTTATACCTCCATATTTTTAACAAAAAAAACATTCAAAAAATCTTTCTCTTGGAGTTTCATTAAAAGTCACTTCCTCTATTTTATGTGTTGCCTTTTGGTGGGACATTTTGTCTTTTATTCTTCATCTGAATTTTGTGAAAGAGAGAGAAAGGGCAGTATGAGGGAGAATAAGATAAATTTGTGTTCATAATGTGGTAATTTTTCCTGCTTCCTTGTTAAGCATTGGGATCATCTTAAAAGGATTTCAGTTACCTCAAGGGACAATAGATATCTTGAAACAGGGCGGTTTCCCATCTGCTTGATGGTGTGACAGCTCCCCATGAAAAGTGCAGCGTGTTCAGATTCTATATTTTGTAGCTCTTTTTAGATGAAATAGCATTTATTATCCATGACTTTGAAACTGCCAAAGACTTGAAGTCAAAAGTGTTTATAAACATACATGGTGCCTTTGCCAAAAGCACTGCATTTGATTACAATCTTGACTAATTGATCTAATGTTTTATAGGCCTGGACAAACAATAATTTTATATTTGAGGGGTTTTTTTAGAAAAGCTATTTTTATTTTATAACTTTTGATATAATAAAAGCAAGAACTACTGCTATTTTAAAAAGTTGCTAAAGTTTGATCTTATTCTGTGGTAGTGAACATGAAAACTGAAGTCACTTTACGTCATAGAAGGCTCTTTCAATGATAGATATTGAAGAATTAGGGGCATTGACATTCTTCAGTGACTTTCTTGTTCTGAATGAGAAAATTCTGTACTCTGAATTTTTATTTGTTTTCTATAACTCCATTTCACGATCCTCGAGAGTTAGTGCTTACTAGGGTATGAATAATCACAACTTTTGCGCAGCAGTTCAAATTTCATCTTAAATCAATCATTAACTTCAACGATTCAAATGAGAGCCAGATGAGTGAATTTTTTTCCTTGTCATAGAAAAAATAGGCCAAGGTAACATATCTCACACCCTCAGGATGAGGAAGAAGAATTGGAGTCTTCATGCTGCCTCCAGTTATGCATCAGTCTATCATCTAACCCATCTCTGCTCATTCAGTTTGTCCAGTGAAGAATGGAATATTAATTCTCTCCAATCTTCTATTCAGTATTACAGAGAGAAAAGAAAAAAGGAAAATTACTTTTTTTGTATTTAATAATTTATTATCAATTTAGAAAGGCAAAAATATATACATATAACAGTTACAAGTTCAAAAGACATATCATAAATTAGGTAGTTATACCAACTGACATTACAAGAAATAAAGTATTCAACTATTAGTTTTTCTGCTTCACAAGTTGTTTTCAGAGAGAATAAGATGCCCCATAAACAGGAAGTGATTTTCCCATTATCCTTCAGTTATTTAGTAACATTTCTCAGACTATTTCATTTTCCATCTAATTCTCTAGCCAAAATTAATGGTTAGAATTTGACTAGGATGAAGAAATATGTACTCATATTCTGTTATTATTTACTCTAGCTCTCTACTCTTTCACGTAATAGACTTTGGCCACGTCTCTATAACAACATCCAACTGTACATCCACACATCTCACTGCCTTTCTGCTGACTGGTATCCCAGGCTTAGAAGACTTCCAAATCTGGATCTCCATCCCTTTCAGCTTCATGTATCTTTTGGCTGTGATAGGCAATGGCCTGGTTGTGGCGGTGGTAGCCTGGGACAGAAGCCTCCATGAACCCATGTATGTCTTCCTGGGGATGCTGGCATTCAACGACGTCCTCCTTTGTACTGTCACAGTACCCAAAATGCTTCTCATCTTCTCGCAGGGCTCTTCCCTGTCCACCTTTCCTGCCTGCCTCACACAGATGTTTTTTGTTCACGCTCTCTTCCTCTCTGAATCTGCTGTTCTACTGGCCATGGCTTTTGATCGCTATGTGGCTATCTGTTCACCTCTCCATTATGCAACCCTACTTACAGGCTCTCTCATTAGCAAGGTGGGCCTGGCTCTGGTGGCTCGAAGTGTGGCTGTGGTCACCCCAGGTGTCCTCCTCATTCTCCGGCTACACTTCTGCCAGAGCAATATCATCCACCATACCTACTGTGAGAACATGGGCATCGCCAAGTTGGCCTGCAATAGCATTGCCCTTAATAGCATTTATGGGCTCACTGCTGCTCTCCTCACCACAGGGCTGGACTTTCTCCTCATCTCCCTGTCCTACTGGCTAATTCTGAGAACAGTCTTCCGACTACCTTCTAGGGAAGCCCGGACAAAGGCCTTTGGGACCTGTGGAGCTCATATATGTGTCATCTTAATATTCTATACTCTGGCCTTCTTTTCTTTCTTTACCCATCACTTTGGAAAGCATGTGCCCAGGCATGCCCTTATCCTCCTGGCAAACCTCTACTTACTGGTGCCACCTACCATGAATCCCATTGTTTATGGAGTGAAGACAAAAGAGATAAAGATGAGAGTACTAGGACTCTGTAGCCAAACAAAATGACCCAAGGGTAATGAAGCAACAATGAACAGCAGAGTCCACCATGGAGGAAGAGGCCCAAACGTCAAATTTGAATCAATCTTGGCAGATCTGTCCCCACAGCCCTTAACCTCTGAATAGAGCTTTAAAAATTCATATTTACAAATACTGTATTCCTGACATGGGATAAACAGGAACTGCTCACTCACCATTGAAGAGTATCTCAAAATAGTAAAGTAATAATTAATGGAATATCACTGTAATAGCACAAGGGACTTAAATATCCTTTTTGTAATACACAATGTCTCTTTTACATCAATTTGCTATAGACAGGACAAAATGTCAACTCCATATGTTCAGGGATTAGCTCTGAATCTGGTCTCACCATAACACCTAGAGGACTCGGAATAAACAAATAATTTAATAAATATCTGTCGGAAGGATAAATGTCTTCCTTAACCAAATAATAAATGCTAATGATTTGAACTCCCTGATAGGTCCTTATATATTATATAGGACCTATAAGTAAAATACTTCTTTCTGTTTTCTCTCAAAAACCTTTCCTTTAGCTTCCAGAAAATATCTATTTCTTATCTCCTGTAATATCTTGGTGTAATAGAGACTTTCACTTACCAACAATAGAAAAATTACTTTGGTTAGATTAGGTAAACAAAAAACAGGATATTTCATGGAAGCATTCTGAGTTATGCCATGATAACCAAGGATAACTTGAATATCTATAACTCAAGAAGGACAAAAGCCAGGTTGCCTTAGGACCTCAACAGCAGGAGAGCCTAAGCTTCTTTAGTGGATTCGGTGTCTCAGTTGCAATGATTATGGGACAGAAAGTACAATAACCTAATAGTGGGTCAAACTGCTGAACCTAAATCAATCTGCTATACCTCTTAACATTCTGATTTAATGGGGATGAAATTGTATCAGGATAATTCTTAGGAAAAGGAAAAGAAAATCATGGCAAATGGTCAGAATTATGTTCACTTGATTCATTTGGTACTTTTGTATACACACATGCAATTTTCCTGGTTTAGCTCTTCGCACAGCAAGCATTATTGTTGATTGTGTCTATAGGACCTGGGAGATACTTTATCGTCTGTAAATCTATCTGCCGTAATTCCTGCAATGTAATCTCTTTTCTCCACTGGAAAACACTCACCTCTTGATTAATGAAAGAGCTAAATATTTCCCTGGCATCACACAATAAAAAAGCACATCATGAACATAACATATACCTGGTCAAGTGGTTGAGTTAATTAGACTGAGCGCCTTGAAAATATTTACATGGTTATCATCCTCTTTATAAATGCATATGGCTGTTTCTATATTCTGTGTGTAATTAGGTGGTTATGCATGCTGTAATTTTTTTTAGGAAATTATATTTTTATTATTTATCAAATCGAATGACTGAATGACTAAATGGGACAATGAGGTATTTTGCAACAATGCTTTGTATAAAGAAAATGCCAAACATTTAGATGGTAAAGGAAATGATGATCTTCTCTACTATTATTTTTTCTTGCCAATGTGTTTTGTCACAAAGGACCTTCTGCAGCAGAAAGATAATCAGTGCATATTCCAAAGAGTAGCATTTGACATTATGAAAACAACTGCATTGCACTTTTGCCTAGTGATAAAGGATTTGAATACAAAAATGAATTATTATTTGGGCTTCTGGATATCTTACAGAATCTGTAGGAAGGCAGAGAATGCTTTCAGAAGGCAAATAAATACTCACGACTTTACCAAACAAGCTAACATGAATAAGAGTGTCTCCTAATTTATAAATCCGTATACAAATGAGATAGATGCTCCAATCATATTACTATAATCCTAGGCAAGAATAAGAGGGCTTCTTGTTTTAAGAGCACTAGCTGCTTGTCGGAGGAATGTACTCCAGCTTTCACTAAGACTCCTAAAACACGATAATGTATCTTTTCTCATTTCATAACACAACCTTCCCTTCCATTTATTCATTCATTCATATATTCAATGCTTGATCTCTTCACCAACTGTATTTTACTGGGAAGAATGACCTTATTTTGAGAATATGTGTTTTCTAAATATTTTGGTAAAATATATTTTATGAATGTAATGTGACTCTAGTAATTAAATTTGAGGAGCTAGTATAGTAGACTATAATTTATAAACTCCAAAGTTGGGTTATCTGTGTATCAAAAGCTGGGTTATCTGTGTATAGATCCACTTGAAATAGTTTTTCTGATATGTGAAATGCAAAATCTAGGATTCAAAAGTTTAAATATATTTCTGTTAGCAAATTTGATAAAGGTTTTTATTTTTTGGAGCACAAGCACTAGGAAAGGTATGTTCAGCATACATAGGTTGAAAATATATTTTGTATTTTAATATCATTTTAAACATGATATATATTCTTAAATGTTACTTGTAAAATGTACAGCTGATGATAATGTTCACATTCTCCTCAAAATTCTCCTTTTTCCTATAAATTTTACTTGGCTAGTGTATTACACTGAATAATATCTAAATTTGATGTCCCTATAACAGGCTTTAGTTTTAGTTGATATGCCTTTGATCAAGGTGAATGTGCTGAAGGAGATGCAATGAGAATAAAATCAAGAAATAGGACAAAGTGGGGTAGGGACAGACATAGTTGAATGAAATCAGAGAGTAGAAATAAGTTCATGCAAATTCTATATGTACTCCATATGCCTGAAATTTGTAATCCTAACTTTAAGTCAATGAGATCTCTTTTATTATATGAAATGTAGGCTCAAGACAGGTCAAATCTTTTCTGGCAATATGTTTTTTGAATATCCAAACTAGTCCTTCTATATTCAATGATTTATTCCTTTCTTTATCATTTATACATTCAATAATTAATAACTGACTTTTTTTACATCAAGCATAGTGCTGATTATTACAGCGAGCAAATTTTTGGAGGCACACTTATTACAGTAGCTAAAATAAGATATGTGAAAACATATTTCTTATTATTGAGATTTACATAAATTATTGGAGCTATAAAGCATTCTTAAAGTCTTCTTTTTTACTCTTTGCTTATTTTTTGTCTTTGAACAAGTGTACATAAGCAAACTAAGAAAATTCAATTAACTTTGCAAGCTTTTTATACAACTCTATGCACTGCCACATGAGAGGTAATTTTAGAGTTATAAGAAAAGACAGTGTTGTATATTGAACAGATTTCTAGATAAAAATTAAGACTCCTGAATTATCTGTTTCCTGCTACCACAAACTTGTAAGTAGCTATAACTCAGTGAGTCATATTTTTTTTTACATTTAAACAAATAGTATAACTTACATTGTTATTAAGATACATTTATTTCAATGCTATAATCCCTGGCTTCACATGACAATATCTGGGAGCTTTCAAAAATTACGGAGTCTCAGCTTTCTATAAGATAAAAATTATTTGTAATAATTAAGTAAAAGAAAAATAAATATGGAGAGGGCCCCTTTTTATTCCTGAGGAAACTAAATCTCCTCAAGAATAAAAGGGCAGAAGATGTGTATAAACTTTTAAAAGATAATATTAATGCACCATGAGGATTGATGACTTCTGCTTTTAACCCTAATATGCTCTTATATCAAGAAAAGAGTTTTTCCATCTTGAAAAAATATAAAATAAGCAGGTTTACAAACACACTTAAATAACAAGAAAAACAATATAAGATTCTTGAGAAAAGATGGAATGTCAACAAGCAAAGAAACGTGGGTTTAGTATATTTAAGGAAAACTTCATGGATAAGTGACCATGAATAAGGGATGTGATTAGAGATGGAGGAGAACCGATGGAAATGATTTCCCACACACTTCACTACAACATATTCATACTTAAAGGAGATTTATGAAACATATGTTAAGGAGGGCTATATAATCTCAGTGGACACCAATGCTCTCCTGTAGGACATTTTTGTGATGCTTGTTGGCTCTCTTTCTGCTCTTTAAGAAGTCTTTCTCTGGTAACTCTATGGTGCCAACACACCTAAGGCAAACACTATGTATTTACATCATTAAGACTGATACCATCAGTGTCTTGAGGCCATGATTACATCACAGCACGAGTGATTTTTGGGGGGAGAAGCAGGTGGAGAATTCCTTGGCGTATCTGCTTAGTCTTCACACTATAGATGATTGGGTTGAGCACAGGTGGAACTAATAAGTAGATATGACCCATGAGGATGAGACTGAGTGGGGAAGAGTGTTTGCCAAAACGATGGATGATAGATAGCCCAATCATAGGCACATATAGAATGAGGACAGCACAGATATGGGATGCACATGTGTTGAGGGACTTAAATCTCCCCTCACGAGATGAAATCTTTAATACTGAGTGAAGGATGAACACATAAGAAACAAAAATACCCAGAGAGTCCATGCCCCACAGCATAGTGATCACAATCATCCCATATATAATATTAAATTTGGTATCAGCACAGGCAAGGCGAATAATGTCTTGGTGCAGACAATAGGAATGAGAAAGGATGTGGGAGTGGCAGAAGGGAAAGAAGGGCAGCCGGGCCAGAAGTGGAATCACTGCAAAGGCATTCCTAAGAAGAGCTGCAATTCCAATTTTAGTGATAAGTCTTGGGGTGAGAATGGTCACATATCTCAGAGGGTGGCAGATGGCCACATAGCGGTCAAGGGCCATGGCCAACAGCACAGATGATTCAGTGAAGGAGAAAGTGTGAATGAAAAACATTTGGACCACACAGATGTTGAACTGGATCTCCCTGGAAATGGACCACAACACCCTGAAGAGTGATATCATTGTGGGCATAGACATGCCCATGTCAGTGAGAGAAAGCATGGCCAGGAAGTAGTACATGGGCTCATGGAGCCTGGGGTCTGTCCGCACGATATGCAGGATGGTGCAGTTACCCATTATTCCACCCAGGTAGAGGAGACAGAATGGGATGGAAATCCAGTGGTGAAATTCCTCATATCCAGGGATACCTGTGAGATAGAATGTGGAGGACAGGGAATTGCTGGAGTTTAACGTTGCCATG